GTGTAGAGCAGATGAATGACTGAAACACTTCCCACATGCAGTGCAGTGATACGGTTTCTCTCCAGTGTGGATCCTCTCATGTGCTTTCAGGATTCCTGACTGATTGAATCTCTTGTCACAGTGTGAACACTTGTACGGTTTTTCTCCGGTGTGAATCCTCTCGTGCAGTTTTAAACAGTATGCCGAAGTAAATGTTTTTTCACACTCAAAGCACATGTACTCTCTCACACCAGTATGTATTTTCTGATGCTCTTTTAAATGATGTAGAAGTGAAAAACTCTTTCCACACAAAGTACATGTATGTGGCTTCTCCTTTGTATGAACGTTCAGGTGTTTCTTCAGGACTGACGCCCACAAAAATGTTTTGCCACATTGATCACATGGGTACAGTTTCTCTCCAGTGTGGATATTCACGTGCTCCCTAAGTTTTGCTGATTGCGCGAAACACTTTCCACATTGATCACAAGTGAATGGTTTCTCTCCAGTATGAACTCTCGTATGTGCAGTGAGGTGTCCTTTTAGTGTGAAACTCTTCCCGCACCGATCACATGTGTACGGTTTCTCTCCAGTGTGAATCTTCTCATGTCTTTTCACATGTCCTGACCGATTGAATCTCTTGTCACAGTGTGAACACTTGTATGGTTTCTCTCCAGTGTGGATCCTCTGGTGCTGTTTTAAACACTTTGCTGAAGTAAAAGTCTTTTCACACTCAAAGCACATGTACTCTCTCACACTAGTATGTATTTTCTGATGTTCTTTTAAATGTTGTAAACATGAAAAACTCTTCCCACACAAATGACATGAATGTGGCTTCTCTTTTATATGAAAGTTCAGGTGTTTCTTCAGGTCTGAAGCCCACAAAAATGTGTTGCCGCATTGATCACATGCATACAGCTTCCCTCCAGTATGAACTCTCATATGAAGCTCAAGATGACGTTTGTTTGTCAAACTCTTCCCACACCGAGTGCAGGTGAAAGATTTCTTGGCTCTTCTTTTCTTTAAATCTTTCTGTTTGGTTTGAAAGCCACTAGTTTTAACATGACTTTCCTCCTCAAATTCACTCAATTCTTCTTTCTCCTCGTTTTCTTCAATCAACTCTGAAATAAAAGTAAAAACAGTCCATTTGTGAGCAACTCATTAGAAATTTTTTTTTAAAAAGAGACATGTGAAAGGACATAAAAATGTAGTAGACAATTGCTTTACAAAAGTTTGGTCATTTTGGTGCATTTTCATAAATTATATGTTGTCGAAACTTTCCAAAAATGAGGTACATTGATCTTCAAATATTATTTTTAAAACATTATTGGCACAAATCCCATGTCTCTATAGGGAGAGACTATTATGTTTGATCAATTACACAATCATCTAACATAAGTTTTATTGAGAAAAAAAAAAAGACCCAGTTCATAGAAAGTGTCTCTTATTATTTGCTTTATGACCATCAGTGATGTATCCAAATAATCAATGTTCTTATATTTTTCGAGATTTTCATATCCATGTATTAATTTATGATTTATTATTTTTTTAAATAATTTATGCTTCTTATATTAATCCTCATGATATATTCATGTACAGTGGTGTGAAAAAGTGTTGGCCCCCTTCCTGATTTCTTATTTTTTTGCATGTTTGTCACACTTTAATGTTTCAGATCATCAAACAAATTTAAATATTAGTCAAAGATAACACAAGTAAACACAACATGCAGTTTTTAAATGAAGGTTTTTATTATTAAGGGAAAACAAAATCCAAAACTACATGACCCTGTGTGAAGAAGTGTTTGCCCCCCTCTTAAAACTGCGGTTTATCACACCTGAGTTCAATTTCTCGAGCCACACCCAGGCCTGATTACTGCCACACCTGTTCGCAATCAAGAAATCTCTTAAATAGGAACTGCCTGACAAAGTGAAGTAGACGACGAGGGCGCTTGGTGACACTAGGGTGTGACTGGAGCAGAGATGGAAGGAAGTGACGTAGGATCAGGAAGTGAGCTGGACATAGAGGATGAATGTATTGGCGGGGAGAAAGGAGGTAAAAATGGAAATTGGAACATAGTAGAAAATCGGAAAAGGAAAAAAAAATGGAATCAACTTTCTGGTTCGGAAAGTGAAAGGGAAAGACAACAGGAGAAAAGGAAAAAGGAAGAGTTTAAGGTAATGATACATTTCTTGTCCGATAATATGAATGCATTGAACCCACTGAAAATAACTAAAGCGATCAAAGAAGAGATCGGGAAAATCGAACATGCGAAAATGTTACGGAATGGAAAGTTGCTACTTTTTTGTAAAGATAGCAGACAACAAAAACAGGTACTAGGCTTAAAGACATTAGCAGGGAAAAAAATTTCGTGTACACTGTTGGAAGAGAAGAAATGGATGAAGGGAGTAATAACAGGGGTCCCAACAGATGTATCAGAAGACACAATCAAGAGAAGTTTATCAGGAGCAAAAGTGGTAGGGGTCAAACGTCTGAAATATGTTAGAGATAAAGAAAAGCTGGATAGCTTATCTGTAATGGTGCAGTTTGATGAGGAAAGATTACCAGAAAGAGTATTCTTTGGGTTTATAAGCTATGCTGTTAGACAGTATGTTCCTCCTCCGCTTAGATGCTATAAATGTCAAAAGTACGGGCATGTGGCAGCTGTTTGTAAGGGAAAACAACATTGTGCGAGGTGTAGTGGAGAACATGAATATGGAAAATGTGGACAGGGTGTAAAACCCAAATGTTGCAATTGTGGAGGTGATCACAGTGCTGGCTATGGTGGATGTCAAGTAAGAAAAGAAGCAATGAAAATTCAAAGTGTCAAGGTTTCGGAAGGGTTAACATATGCTGAAGCAATAAAAAGGGTTAAGGTGGTAGAACCAAAAGAAAATACTCAAAAGGTTACAACTAGAACAAAAGAAAGCCATAGTTGTAGCAAGGTGAATGAGAATACTATGCTAGTAGACAAAGTATCATTCATTGCCTTTGTGGCTGAAGTAATAAACTGCTCTGCACAAACAGAAAGTAGAACAGAAAAGATTAGAATTATAATCCGAGCAGCAGGAAAACATCTGAAAACAGAAGAAGTAACTGTGGAGCAAATAAATGAGAGAATCAAGATGCAAAATACAAACTCTCAAGCAGCATGTGGTGGATTGTAATGGTTTTTACAATTTTACAGTGGAATGCAAGAAGTTTGATCGCTAATGGACAGGAGTTTAAAAAATTTGTTGATAGTTTAGAAAGCAGACCGCAAATTATATGTATACAGGAAACATGGCTGAAAACGCATTTAAACTTTGTTTTACAAGGATATGTAGCAGTACGAAGAGATAGGGGTGTTGGAAATGGAGGTGGAGTTGTTACCTTTGTACAAGAAGGAATAGGATTTAGAACAGTGCAGGTAAATAAGGAATATGAGTCGTTGGTGGTTGAAGTTTGGGCCGAATCACAAAGTATATGGGTGATAAATTTTTATAACCCATGTGAAAGGTTAAGTAGAGAAACATTAGAGAGTATTGGGGGATTAGGAAATCATAAAATGATATGGTGTGGGGATTTTAATGCTCACAATACGCTATGGGGAAGTGTACATAATGATCAGAATGGAAATGTAGTAGAAGAGATGTTGGAATGGAAAGATTTAATATGCTTAAATGATGGTAGGAATACAAGGGTAGATGTTGCACAGGGAAGAATTTCAGCAATTGATTTGACTCTAGCATCTCAAAGTTTGGCAAGGAAGTGTGTATGGAGTGTTATGGAAGAAAGTACAGTAGGTAGTGACCATTTCCCAATAAGCTGTAAAATTGGAATAGACTTGGAACAAGTTGAAAGGGAAGAAAATCCTAGATGGAAACTTAAATCTGCTGACTGGGAAAAATTCCAAGAAATAAGTGAGACTAGAATGTTGACAATAGATATATCGATAGAAGATGTTGATGAATTAAATAAATATATAAGTGATGTTATTTACAAAACAGCAACTGATGTAATTGGGAAAAGCACAGGGAAAAGGAGAAAGAAGGTCGTACCATGGTGGACAGAAGAGTGCAGTGAAATTATAAAGAAAAGGAACAGAGTATTTAAGAAAGTAAAAAAATCATATTCATTTAATGATTTTATTGAGTATAAGAGAACACAAGCAATTGTCAGGAAAACAATTCGGATGGCAAAAAAGAATTATTGGAGGAAATTTTGTGATGAAATTGGAAAAGAGACAGACATTAATGAAATGTGGGGAATGATAAGAAAGATGGGAGGGATTCAACCTAACAGAGAAATTCCAGTTTTAATTAGTGAAGGAAAACAAGTCATATCTAACTCTGGAAAAGTAGAAGTATTGGCTGAAAATTTTGTTAAGGTTCATAGTAATAGAAATATATCAGAAGAAATGAGATTATATAGAGAAAACAAAATGAAGGAAAATCCAAATATTTTAGAGCAAAGAGATGAGCATGAAAGCTCAGTAGATGAAGTTTTTACCATGTATGAATTAAATCAGGCACTTGTAGGAGTTAGAAATACTTCTCCTGGTAAAGACGAAATATGTAATGAAATGATTAGGTATCTATCAGATAAGTCAAAGAATATTTTATTATATCTTTTTAATAGAGTGTGGAAATTAGGACAACTCCCTTCCTCTTGGAAACATGGCATAATTATTCCAATTGTAAAGCCAGGAAAAGATCATTCGCAAGTTACAAGTTACAGACCGATTGCATTAACTTCTAACCTCTGTAAACTAATGGAACGTATGGTAGTGGCAAGATTGAATTATGTCCTGGAATCAAAAAATCTTTTATGTCCTCATCAGAGTGGTTTTAGAAAAGGTAGAAACACAACAGATGCAATTTTAAGTCTAGAATCAGATATAAGAAAATCTCAGATTAATAAAGAAGTATTAGTTGGTGTGTTTTTAGACATAGAGAAAGCGTACGATATGATGTGGAAGGAAGGACTTTTAATTAAACTGAATAAAATGAATATTAATGGTAGAATGTATAATTGGATTAAGGATTTTTTAATTGATAGAACCATTCAAGTAAGGATTGGGTCTTCGTACTCAAAGAAATATGCAATTGAAAATGGTACTCCACAAGGTAGTGTGTGCAGCCCTATATTGTTCAACATAATGGTAAATGATATTTTTAATACAGTTGGACCAGGGATTGGAAAGTCTTTATATGCAGACGATGGTGCTTTATGGAAAAGAGGTAGAAATTTGTCGTATGTAGAAGAAAGCATGCAAAATGCTATTAAAGAAGTTGAAATGTGGGCAAGTAATTGGGGATTTCGAATATCAGTGGAAAAAACTAAAATAATATGTTTTTCAAAAAAGAAGAAAACACCAGTTGTTAAGTTAAAATTGTATGAGCAAAAACTGGAGCAAGTATCTGAATTTAGATTTTTAGGTATTTGGTTGGATTCAAAGATAACATTTGCAAAACACATTCAACAGATAGTAGATAAATGTAAAAGAGGAATAAATGTACTGAGGTGTTTGGCAGGAATAGATTGGGGAGCTGATAGACAGTCTCTAAAAAGAATATACTGTGCACTTATAAGGTCTACATTAGACTATGGGAGTATGATTTATGGAACTGCCTCAGCATCTCTGTTAGATAAAGTGAATAAATCTGAAACATTAAAGTGTGACAAACATGAAAAAAATAAGAAATCATGAAGGGGGCCAACACTTTTTCACACCACTGTATTTACTCATTAATGTTACTCATTTATGTTTTATTTTGTTAGATGTACGTTTATATGTAATATTTGTAGTATTCTCCAAAAAATATGCATGTTATGCACATTTTATATATGTGACCCTGGAGCACAAAAGCAGTCTTAAGTCGCTGGGGTATATTTGTACGCTTATTTATTCAGATTTCAAGTTATGTAAAAATCTCAATTTCAAAAAATTGAACCTCGTGTCTGGTTTTGTGGTCCAGGGTCACAAAGATATATCATCTTTATTGGTGTTTTGTTATTGAACATCTTCCAACTACTGCCGGAGTAATAATGTTTCTCAGAATTAGCCATTAATGGTACTAGATATTCTTTCCAGAAACTGTTTTTGTAATATGTAAAATATGATATTTGAATATAGGGATGTTCCGAGCTGATCAAGCATTTTTTTAACTGATTGGTATTGGCTCTCCTAAGCCTGATCCTTTTTTAATGTCAGCTGTAGTGATGCAGCGATCACAGTTAAATCTGCGGGCACTGCGGATAATCCGCGGGTCGGGTAATAAAAAATAAATAAATCTGATTAATTGCGGGTGAATGAGATTAAATCATTAATGACGCAAATATTAACTACATTCTCTGAAATATGAAGGTGTGTTTTTAATGCATTTTTTCATCAGGCAGACACCAAAATTTCATTTTTTGTGTGTGTTTGCCTGTTTGGGAAGTTGCAGTGACAGAAACAGTGACATTGCAGTTAAAGCCTGTGTTTAAGCTATTAAGAAAATGTAGGCTAATCTGGCCAAAGAAGAACTTTTGTTTTAAAATTAAATGTTAATTTAATGTTGTTGTAGGAAAATTAATGTTTTACTCTTTCTTATTTACTTTCTTAGACATTGTGTGGGTTTTTATATATTTTTTGTATTTTTCCTTTTGATTTAATTTGTGTTTCTCTCTCAATATGTATATATATGTCACCTGGAATGCAACAAAGACATCACACAGTAAAACAGAGAGCCTTCCTTGTCTTTAGTGCGGGTAATTTAATCAGGAAAGACAGAGGGGTTAGTCATAAATAAAGACCTTTGACCTCACGGGTGTGAAGGCACACAAACACACAGTAAAAACAAATGATCAGAAAGAGCCTTTGAACTCTTTAGTGCAGGAAAGACAGAGGGGTTGTTGACCTCACAGATGTGAAGATAATAAAAGCCCAGGGGGTTAGAAGGACCATTGTTTTTTCTGAAAACAGCTAGGTTTGGTTTACGGGGTTAAGTGGAAATTTACAGAGAAGGAACCTTGTAAGAAGTGGGGGGTGATAACAGTATAATAAGGCTGTCTGTTTTCAGTGTGATTTTAGGTCTGTTGTGTTTCAGGGTAGCTGCTGAAACATTGTGAACATACCTCTTTAAGGAAAATAAACTTCTTTCCTTAAATATAATTTGATTCCTTGTCTCTTACACTGTGATGCTATTTGTTAATAATTGTTTTTGCCACAACAATGTTTTATTAACAAGGTTCGGGAGGAGCACGATCAGATGGTCAACCAGTTCAGCACAGGTGGAGCTTGTTTAGTTATTCATCTTAACAAGCACGATACGTATATACAGCCAACTTACCTCTGTCCCACAACAGTTTTCCGGCATCCCTCCTCCACCTCAACTCCTCACTTTAACTATTCTCATCCCAGATTAGGGATAAGGGGAGTTCTCTGGGTTCACGCTATATTCCGGGCTCGGAGCCCTCCCCTCAGGACAGCATGCCAAATATGCTTACTATCTGCTCAATCCAATTATATGTAAGTGCGAACTCGTGAAAAGCAGCCTACGTTCAGCGTTTTATGTTAACATTACCATTTATGGCTCCGACGAAATTTTGTTCCGTCTTCCACGCGGTGCCAACTCACACCAGGAGCGCAGCAACTGGATTCGCAAGAACATGAGATTTGCTTGTCCAACGTTGTTTTCCTTGATTTTCTGTGTTTTTTTGGGGTTTTTTGGGTTCTACCTATCTAGTTATGAATGACAAAGATAAAAGGCATGCGGCTGTTAAAATACATAAATTATCTAATTATGTGCAGCTTGGACGTGGCGTCCATCAAAATAGAATGCAGCAGCACATTTTGTTTTCAATGAGCCCAAGAGAGTCCATGTCACACCGCTTCTCATCTCTCTGCACTGGCTTCCAGTCATGGCTCACATCAAGTTCAAGACATTGGTGCTGGCCTACAGAACAGGGATTTTCTGTGTTTTTTGGGTTCTACCTATCTAGTTATGAATGACAAAGATAAAAGGCATGCGGCTGTTAAAATACATAAATTATCTAATTATGTGCAGCTTGGACGTGGCGTCCATCAAAATTAGACTAGGAGCATATCTTTAGCAAAGCAGCACAGAGAGCCACTTCTGGACGCTTCTGAAATGTGCGGCGGGTATAAACACAAGCCAGAGAGTGCTTGAGAATTTATATCGTAAATACATAAAATGTTCGACCAATCAGATTATTCGGTCCAAACATTAAGATACCTGCCTGTCAATGTATGTATTTTGCATTTTTCTGCGCACCTTTCACGCAGACACGATACGTTATCATTTATTATGTTATTGCAGACTGAGCGAGAATGGAAGGTGTTATTGTTGTAATATTATGTACTGTACTTTGTACTGTAATGTTTTCTCACCAGTGAATTATACATGAGGTCAATGCCGTCTCTCATCGTTTCACTAGTTAGTCTCTTTCACTAGTAAACACCAACCTGTTTGTTCTTCAGTGAGTTTCATTCTGCAGGGTTCTGGATCTCTCGTCATCTCTCTGTCCTCTTTAATAAACTCAGTCTTTGCAGATTTCAGC